GCTCATAGGGAGCGTAGGGCTGATGGGGCGTGTAGGGCTCACAGGGCTCACGGCCGTCATGAAACTCTGTGAGGTGTTGTTGTGGCCTCCTGTGGCCGTCTTGGGAGGCTTTTGGGAGCCGTTGGGGACACTGACGGCTCTTTGTTGGGCCGTCTTGGGGCTCTCGTGGGCCGTGCGGAAGTAGGGGACCTCATTGAAGCATCTGTGTGGCCTTCCCGGGGGGGGCTCTTGAGCTCATTTGTTGGGCTGGGAAGGCGTCGTCGAGGTCTCTTGGGGCTCTCTGGGACCCTCGGAGGGCTCTTTGGGGGGGCCACTCGGCGGCTTTGGGGCCATATTTGGGGGAAGAGCTCGAAAGGTCAGTTCTGTTGGTCCTTCTTGGGGCCATCTTAGGCCGTCTTGTGGGGCTTCTTGGGTGGTCTTGGGCCATCTTGGGGCCATCTTGGGGCCCTCTTGGGCCGTTGTGGGGCCCTCATGGGAACCACTTCCGGCGTCTTGGAGCAATCTTGGGGGCCTGTTTGACCGTCTTGCGTGGTCGAGAGGTCGAGAAAGCAAGCACGTTGAAAATCATGAAAAACACAGTAAACTTACGAAGCTTGGCTTCTGGGGCCCGCTTGGGGGTGACCTATGGGCTCTCGTGGGGCGTCTTGGGGGCCTTCTGGGCCGTCCGGAGACCATCTTGGGCGTGTTGGAGCGGTCTTGGGCCGTTTCGGTGCTCCGCGGGACCGTCCAGGGAGCGATCTTGAGCTCGCCAGGGCGGCTTGGGATGACCGAGAGGGGCCTCCGGAACCGAATACCCGAATTTCCCGCCGATGGGAGCGCCCAGGGCCGAATTTATGTACGGGGGGGGATCGACCCGCGGTTTTCCGATATAAGCATATTCGAAGAGGTATACATATATATATATATATATATATATATATATGTACACCTGTATGTACATCTATATATACACACGTATTACGCGCACGCAGGTGAGCATGCACACATGCGCGCGTCTAGTAATGCACGCGTGCACGCGCGCGCCAGTCTTGTATATATTTATATACACATATATAGAAAACACATAGTTGCAGAATATTGAAGACACATTTGTATAGTATTGTAAATATGTGTGAATACGCATCCATATATATATATATATATATATATATTATAAATAAATTGCTGGTTTCGGCTCATCCCGCCACCGTGCTTGGATTGTGGGCATGAAGCCTATTGGATGTTCGTTGGGATTTCGTGGGAGGCCTCTCGGGGGCCTCTCGGAGGCAGTTTAGTTTGGACGCCTCTCGTCGGCCGTTTCAGGGCCTCTTGGGGCCTCTTTTGGGCCCATTGGGGGCATCTTGGGTGCCTCTTGGGGGCACCTTGGGAGTATTTGAGGGGGGGTTCTTGAGGCCTCCTGGGGTCTCTTCGGGGCCTTTTGGGGCCTCCTGGGTGCCTCTTGGTGCCTCCTTGGGGCCTCTTGCGGCGGAGTCTCTTGGGCCCCTTTTGGCGCCCTCTTGGGCCGTTTTGGGGCCCTCTTGGAAGCGTCTTGGGCCATCTTGGAGCGGCCTTGGAATCTGGGAGCGTCGGGAAGTCGAAACGGCGAGAACGCCGAAATCTTTCAAACATATTTCAAAAACCTAAGGATGGATCATCAATGATTTTGACCTCTTGGGGCCCTCTTGGGAGGCCTCTTGGAGGCCTCTTTGGGCGTCTTGGAGGCCTCTTGTGCCGGCTGGGGGCCATCTTGGGCGTCTTGGAGCGATCGTTCGGCGACTCGGGGCCCTCTTGGACCGTCTTGGGGGCCTCTTGGGGCCCTCTTGGCCCGTCTCGGGGCCCTCTTGGATCCGAACAAGTTTGGCAAGGCCCCAGGAGAACCGCGACAAGCCCCAAACGAGTTGGGCAGAGGGGCTCCGAACCCCTTCAAGAGCTCCTCAGCAGTGACGACGAAAGCTTAGAAGGGGTAGTGAGAGGACCTGAGGACACGCCCACTCCGTGCCCAAAGGCACGGTGTGGGATAGTCATCGTTCTGCTCTCTTCACCCCTTCCCTTGACCAGCCGACCGGGACTCGGCGGACCCGACGGCAACACCGGGGAGTCTGGGTTCCCCTGTCCATCCCAGACCAGCCTCCTGTTGAAGCCCGCCGTCGAGGGGTGCGGTTCCGGCAGAGGCAGGTGGCGCCAGCAAGGCTTGACACGACACACGCAAGCCGCTTGCGCCAACGGCCGCGGACCCAGACATGAGACCCGCCCCGAACATTATCGAGACGTCTTGATTCTTGATGTTTGTCCATACGGGGTCCCCGGACGTCCCGAACCTCTCCCCAGGGTCAGTTTTTCAACCCGAGTCGTTGTTTGATGATCCCAGGGCGTGGCGAGGGCCCCTGGAGGCAAAAGACTGTCAAGAACTTTCCGTCGTTATTTTTGTTGTTCACTTCGCGTGCCTGTCTGTGGTCACCTCTCAGAGATTCCCGCTTGACCCTCGTCCAGGTTCATCATCGTCTTGTCTTCGTTTAACTCCATGCCTTCCAGATGGGGTCCGAGTAGATGGGGTCGGGGGACCGCGCAGCATCGCAAATGCATCGGCGATGCGGGCCGATGTGGAGTCCGATGCATCGCCGACGTCGCCAGCGCATCGACGATGCATCGGCGATGCATTGGCTCGGACGAGGCTAGGACGAGGAGAAATCCGTTCCAGAGCTTTCCCGAGCGCTCTCAGAGCGTTGTGGAACGCTCTGAGAAGGTTGCAGCGCCCGAGACATCCTCCAGAGTCGCCGGATTTCAGAGATTCCCGATTTATCTGCGTCCGAATTTATCCTCGTCCTGGCTTCGTCTTACAGTGAAAGCCCATGCCAAGAAACACCCTGCTTGCCTCCAGGGTGCCCTCAGGGCTGCTTGGGTGTCGATGGCTTTGCGATGGAAAGCGTGACGTGCCCACACGAAAAGCCAATGAACGTCCTGGGATCTCAGGGCTGGGCTTCCTGCGGAAGATTTCGTGTGGTCGAGCTCCTAATTACTGGAGTGCGTCGCCAGTGCATCGGCGATGCATGGGCGATGCGGCGCGGCCCTCTGGCCCCACTCAGGAGGCCTCCATTGACGGGGGTCGGGGCGGCGGGGGCGGCGGGTTCGATGGGCCGCGCGGCCCGCCGTCCTCCTCCTGCGCCTCCACGTCCCGCTCCTCCTCGGCCTCGTCCTGCCCTCGTCGTCGTCGTCGTCGTCGTCGTCGTCGTCTTTTTTCTCGCCACCGTCGTCTTCCTCGTCCTGCCTCCCTTTCTCTTTTCGCTGGGCGAGCTTGGGCCACTGAGCTTGGAGCGTGCCCTCCTGCCTCCTCCTCCCGTAGGCCTCCGCCAGGCCCGACGGCCCGACCCAGCTTCGAATCCTGGGGAGGAGGAGGAGGAGGAGGAGGAGGAGGAGGAGGAGGAGGAGGAGGTGGAGGAGAAGGAGGAGGAGGAGGAGGAGGAGGAGGAGGAGGAGTAGTAGTAGGAGCAGGAGGAGGAGGAGCAGGAGGAGCAGAGGGGGGGGGGCGAACACGGGGTCGAACACCCCAGACCCCCGACGTTTTTTTTTTTTTTTTTTTTTTTTTCATGACGCGGCCCTCAAAAGCAGAGTCCCGTGCGAGCCAGCCCTTTGGTCACAAAGCGTTCGTGTTTTAGCATTCGAAGGAAAACATCGTCATCGTTGTGATGTTTCATGACGCAACCCTCGAAAGTTTGGACCACTTCCCGGGGACCAGTTGTCCGCGCGGACCTTAGAGTTTTGATGTTTACGCCATTGTGTGCTCCCCGAAGGAAAGCCAGGACGCTTCGCCACTGCTCGAGGGCAGTCGGCGGCCATCGGCGACCGCGGAAGCCAGGACGTTTCGCCCCTATAAGCAAAGCCAGGACGCTTCGCCCCTGAAGAAGCCTCGAGGGAAAGCCAGGACGCTTTGCCCCCAAGGAAAGCCAGGAGCCCAGACCCCCGACGTCGTGATTTTTTCATGACGCGACCCTCAAAAGTTTGGATCCCTTCCCGGGGACCAGTTGTTCATCATGCCTCGTTTTTCCCGGATAGCTCGCAGAGAGCGACGTACGAGGGTTTCAGATTAAGAAGCCGGAGCCGCAGGGTAGCCTTGGAGCTCGTTCCGGCGGCGGGCAGGGAGCCTCGGCGCGAGTTGCTTGAACCCGCAGCGTGTCCCGAAGGGTGTTTTCTAAGCGTTTCGCAATACGCGTGCCCGGAAGCTCTTCAGAAAGTCTTTCGGAAGCTCTCTCCAGGTCCTTCCAGGGTTCTTCGCCAGGTCTTTCCACGTCGTTCGTTTGCCCTGCTATCCAGGTTTTGGACTCCACAAGTTTGACGTTCCCGAGGCCCAGCGAGGACCCGCGGAGGCTGAAAGTATAGAAAAGACCTTCCGTCGTGATTGTCCCACAACGCGAGGAGGTCTCGGAAGAATGTGTTCTACCTTTCTGTCCCTTCCTCCTCTCTCTCGCCCTGCTTCCTCGGAGGGGCGCCGAGAGGACACCACCAGCCAGCCCTGGCCGCGTCCATCCTGGGCCCCGGACTGGTGTACAGACCTCCAGGCCTACAGCGGAGACCAGTCCACAAGAAACCTTCCACAGGAAACCCAGCCCTGAGACCCCAGGACGTCCATTGGATTTCTGGTGTGGGAACGTCACGCTTTCCACAGCAGAACCATCGAAACCCAATAAACCCAGGGCACCCTGGAGGCAAGCAGGGTGTTTCTCGGCATGGGTTTCCACTGTAGGCCAGGAGGGCCAGTACACCAGGGCCTCCGCCAGGCCCGACCCAACCCTCAATATGGGGGGAGGGGGTGTGGGGGACGATCACGGGATCGAACACGAAGCGGTTCTACCTTGTTGTCACCGTACCGTCCCTTTTCCCTTCTGTCTTAACGTTCCGCTTGCCTCGCGCAGTCACGATGCATGTCTGAGTCTTCCAGGAGACCATGGCCTCCCCCCACTTAGTCTCAAGCGGGCCCGGACGACTGTCGGCTGAGGCGGCTCGATTCGATCCGATTCCGCCTCGAGGTGACGTTTGACATCGATGCCAACGGAATCCTGAACGTGGCCGCGAAGGACCGCGGCACAGGCAAGGAGCAGACTATCACCATCACCGGCTCCACCACGCTCGACAAGAACGACGTCGACAGGACCGTCTTTCCTGCTCCCCCCCGTGTGTCGGGGGTGGACAGAACCCCCAACAGTGACACGTCGATTAGTGAATTGTCCGTTTTCGGTTCGAGAGGGCGCCGTGGCCGTTATTTTCCAGGCTTGCGCCCGCCAGGTTTGGGCCTCAGGTCGTTTTCACTAAACCACGTTTTACTAAAGGGATGTCTGTCCATCCCCGCGTGTGCCGACCCCCCCGCGCGGCCCCCGCAAGCGTGGCGCAGGGGAGCTCTGCCTCGCGTCCCTCCGCGTCCGCATGCCGCCTTCTGGGGCCCGCGGCCGTCGAACAGGTACACCCCGCCAAGAGGCCCTACTAAAAAGGCATCGGAGGTGGATAGACCTCCTACCCTGACACGTCGATTAAGGAATTGGCCGTTTTCGGTTCGTGAGAGGGCGTCGCGGCCGTCATTTTTGCGGGTCCAGGTCCGTCGGTTTCGGTCCCGGGTCGTTTTCACTAAGGGGAGGTTTTTTTAAAGGGAGGTTTGTCCACCGCCGAAGGCAGCATTTGCCACATGTCTTGCGCCGCAGGTTGTCATAGGGCATGCGCCGGGCACCCCGCGGGCCACCAAAGCGTCCGGTGCCGCAGTAGGTGTGCAACGCTTTGCGTTGCAGTTTTCATTGGACCTCCCGCGGGGTGCCAAATCGTCCGCTTCGTCAAGCGGTGTGCCTTCTGGATAGATGTTCGGAGCCCCTGCGCTATTAGCTACTTAGTGAACATTCCACCGGCTGCGCCATAAGTTGTGTACCATGTTGCGCCACAGGTTGCGCCAGGCCCCTCGCGGGCCACCAGATCGCGATGTCCCAAGTATGTTTACATTCGGTGGGTTGTGCGCCATAGGTTGCGCCAGACCCCCGCCCCCCAGGCATCCAAGCTGCGATGCCCCTGGTCTGTCTACACTTCACGCGTTGATGCCATAGGTTGCACGACGTGGGTTGCGTCAGACTCTCCGCTGGCCACCAAATCGCAATTTCCGCGGTCTGTCTACATATTTTGTGTCGAGGGTTGCGCGCCACAGATTGCGACAGAACCCCAGCCTCCCGTCCGTTTCGGCACACATCCCCATAGTCCCGTGGGGAGCTCTCCTTTCGGCACCAGCGAAGGCGCCCGCATGGCGTCCCCCCCGCCCAGGTCGTCACTCCCCTCATGTGTGTTCGTGCCCCGCAGATATACACACTGTTCATTTCTAATTCTTCTAAAGTTCTTTGATTTTTTGGGGTCGATATCCTTTCATTTCTAATCCTTCTATCCTGGGCCTCTTCCTGGCCACCACGGAGCCAGCAAGAATTAGAAACGAGCACACATAGAAATGAGCACGATTAGAAATGAACGACGTGTATCCATCTATGGCACCAGTGAGGGCAGCCGCACTGCATCCCTCCGTCCGTTGTGGCACATCCCTCACGCGCTCCGTGCTCCACAGGGAGTGCAGCATGCAGGCCCCACATCCACACTGCCCTCCGGTGTACGATATATATATATATATAGAGAGAGAGAGAGAGGGAGAGAGAGCGGGCCACGACTTGCGCTACAAGCTGCTGCATAGGGTTGGGCCAATCGCCAGGCGAAGGGTCTTCACTTCCTGCTGGTTCCTGTCCCTCCTCATTCCTCCTCCACCTCCTCCCGCTCCTCTGTCCTCCTTCGTTTTTAGCGCCCCCTCACGTCAGGCCAAAACACCCCTGTTCCCCATGACCCCAGCGAACCCACGAGCTCCAAAGAGCGTCCCCAGGGCCCCCATGGCACACGACACTCACCGCACATGCACAATACACACGGCAAAACGCACAACAGTCACAACCGTACTCACACATATCAAACAGCGCCCAACACTCTTCGCACAGCCTGCACCATTCAACAAACGACACGCACACACGAGAATCGGAATACTCATCACGCACACGCACACACACATACACACACACACACACACGCGCACCAAAGAACGCACGCACACACCCATCACGCACACACCCATCACGCACAGCATACATGCACATGCACGTACATCATTCAAACACATACGCGCGCGCAAGTGCACGCACGCCACAGCAGACTTGCACGGAAAATCAGCACGAGTGGACATGAGTGGACATCAACGGCGCGGACAACAACGGCGCTCCCCATTCTTGACTGGTCTGGTTTTGGGAAAGGCATGAGCATGTCCGAAGTTGCGTCAAAATTGAAGTTCAGGCAAGCGCCATCAGCAGGGAAGGCGTCCAAAGCCTAAGGCACGGGGGGGCGGCTGCGAGGATGGGTTTGCCAATGGCTCCGTGCACGCCGTGCCAATGAGGACGACGGTCCGCCTGGACGCATCGGAGACTCCGATATGCCTCCACTGCCTCGGTCCTGCATGGGAGGCCCCTCATGAACTTGTTGGAACGAAGCGACGTGAGGCTTGACCCTAGACTTGACGAGACGAGATTGGGCGTGACGAGACAAGACACGCCAAGATAGCCTCTAAGTCGGCCGGAGCGGCCCCAAGACGCCCAAAGAGATGGAGAATGAATGATGTGTGCCGTCTTGCATTTCTGCTCTGGACAGGCTCCAGAGGCTTCGAGATGGCCTCAAAGGGGGGTCCCAGAACAGCCCCGAGGCGGGCTCGGGACTGGTGTGAGACGGCCCCAGAGGCCCCCACGAGGGGGCCCCAGAGGGCCCTAAGAGAGAGCCACGCCGCTCCCCCACCAACAAAAAGCAACAAACAACACATACAACATTACACCTGGGAAAACCGGAGACCGTGGATGATTTGAAAATTAGTCATACGGATCTTGAGATCGATTGTGAGATCGATAATGAGATCGGTAGTGGAATCGATAGCGGACGATTGTAAGGTCGATCGTGAGACCGAGAGTGAAATCGACTCAATGAGATCGATAGGGAGATCGATCGCGAGATCGCTCGTGCGATCTCTAGTGAGATCGCTTGCGAGATCGACTGCGAGATCGATTGTGAGATCGATGGTGAGATCGATAGAGAGGTGGGAATTGAGATCGATGCTGAGACCATTCGATAAGAAGATCGACCAGGAACCCAGGAACCTGGGAGCCTCGCCGCCCACCGAAATCGGCCCGGGAACCGAGAACCCGGGAACCCGGAGGCGGGAACCCGGGAACCCAGCGTGCGACCAAAGTCGGCGGGACGTGTTCGCCAAATCCTTCAGCCTCCGCTACCCCTGCAGTGCAAGCACTGATTGAGGAAAACACGTAGCAAACAAAATAGCAGTAAAAACACATAAGAAACAGAAAAAGGCCGACAAGGGAAAGCATAGTTGGCACCAGGAGCAGCCCAGGAACACTTGAGACCGTCAGAGGTCCCAAGACCCCTCAGGAGGCCTCCAAGAAGCTCCCGGGAGGTCCCCAGGGCACTCCCAAGCGGCACCCAAGAGGCCCCCAGGAGTCCCCGCCAGGCGCGGGGAACCTTGAGCGGTTGACCCCTCCCCATAGGGGAAGAACAATCGGAAGAGAGAACTCCCGAAAGCACCTACCCCCAGAGGGCTGGTGGGATTGTCATCCACGTGGCTGAGGAAATCCATGATCAATTGAGCAAGGATCCAATTAAGCTGCCCTTCCTCCTCCTCCTCCTCCTCCTCTTCCTCCTCCAGGATGGTCAAGGATGCAGAGGCCAACGCCGCTGAGGACGAGAAGCGCAAGGACGCCGTGGAGACCAAGAACCAGGCCGAGTCGCTCGTGTACCAGACCGAGAAGCAGCTGCAGGAGCTGGCGGACAAGGTGCCGGCAGACCTCAAGGCCTCCATCGACCCGAAGTTGGCGGCTCTCAAGGAAAAGGTCGGCGAGGCGGAGCCCGACAACGAGCTCCTGAAGAAGATGACCAAGGACCCGTCAAGGCGTGGGGTCGCGCACAGGCATCAGAGGAGCAAGAGGTCATGTTAAGATCCGCTCCGAGTTTCCCCACATTCACCCAGCTCCCGAGACTTCCTGTGATTCCGCACGGGCTCGAGAAACGAGGGCCTCCCGATGCTCTGGAAATCTTGGAGCGCATCCTCTGCCAGTCCTGTCATGATGTCACCCTCGCCACAAGGCCAGCTCGCGGCGGTAGGCACAGACGGACCTCCATGGGCGGGGTCTCCCATGGGGAGCCCCGGGCGGGGTCTCGATGCCCCCGCGTCAGCTCTGGCGGCGCCCCCAGGGCTCTCCGCGCCCCAGGTCTGGGGCGTGGAGACCGCCTCGGGCGATCCCAGGGGCCATCCCTATTGGTAGTATGCGGTGCGGCCGTAGTCGTACTCGTCATGGGCGGCGCGGCCGTTGTCCATTGATACCTCCACGACGACGTGCTTGGTAACCCCATCGGGCTGCTCGGTCGTGTTGTTCCTGGCGCCGGCGGCCTTGGTGGCGTACTTGGTTGCGCATTTGGTGTCGTACTGGTGGCATTCGGGGGCCGCCCAGACATCTGGCGCTTCGACTTCGGCGGTGCGTGGCACCCACCCCCAGACCTCTCGACACCCTCCCCAGGCCAGTTTTTCAGCACGGGGCGGTGCTTGACGGCCCATGGACACAAAAGCTGAACATGCTGGACACGCCAGCCGCCCCGATTGTTTCGAGGTGCCTCCCAAATTGGACCCGAGTAGATGCATCGGTGACGTCGACATCGGCGTGGGGAAAATAGCGGTCCACACCGAGCCGCATGGCCGATGCATCGGCGATGCGGCGCGACCCTCCGACCCCATCTACTCGGACCCCGCTGGGGCCGGATGTCTGAGCCGAGCCGGGCGGGGCCAGGACCAGAATGCACCGTTTCAGAGCGTTTCGGAGCGCTCCCAGGGCGTGACGGAGAGCGCTCTGGAACGGCCGCGGCACTCGGCACATCTTCCAGAACCGCCAGATCTCAGAGGTCACCAATCTACCCCAGTCCAATGTTGTCCTGGCCTTGGCCTCGTTTTACTGGACCGCGATCTTCTGTCGGCAGAGGCCGACTACACGTAAGAGTGACCCTTCGCCGGAGTGACCTTTGGTGAGGGCCCACTGGGGCCCACCAATCGTTGAACGCGATGCAATAGCAGCGGCCTGCGCGCTTGGGTTTGGCCCTCTCGCGCTCCCCCAGCAGCCGCGCACCAAAGGCCACTCTTGCCTGGGGTCACTCTGACGTGCAGCCGAAGAGAACGGTCGGCCACGCGCAAAAGGGATCGGGCGAGGCGGGATGGCTTCTTAGAAGCACCCCTGCTTCTTAGGAGGCGCGGGCCGTATCTGTAGATGTAGGGCCAGCGCCTTCTGAAAAGCAGCCTCCTTCTAAGAAGCCTTCCCCCCTCCCCCTACCCCATTTTGCACGCCGCCGAAGAGGACCTGCAGGACGAGCTCATGAAGGTCGGCCAGGCTCGGACAGGGCTAGGACGAGGATCAATCCGTTCCGGAACGCTCTCGGAGCGTTCCGGAGCGCTCTGAGAAGGCCGCGGCGCCTCACTGAAACATCCTCCAGAGCCGCCAGATCTAAGATATTCCCGAATCCCTGGGATCCGACGTTGCACAAAAATTGCAACTTCGGACACAGTCACCACCGGAGCCCCAGATCCCATCTGTCTGCCCCATTTTCCGAGCCCGATCGATCGGTGAGGGGCCCAGGGCCCGAAGTTGGGCGAACACGCCCGCTGCGAAAAAAAATACCACGCAAGGGTCTCAGGGAAATGGATCCTCGTCCCACTTGTTGTCCTCGTCTTAGGTCGGGCATGTCCCCCCACAGGCGGAGGTTTAACGACATCTCAACATACCGCAGAGATATCCCACAGATTTTTTCAGAAGCAGTCCACAAGTCGTCCCCAGACTACTCTTCCCCTATGTTTTGCACGTCCCTCCTGTATAGAGGGACAGGCCCGACTTGATCCTCGTCCTGGCTTCGTCTCGCAGGCAGCCTACGCGAACACCGGTGGCGCCCCGGCTCCCGAGGGCGGCGCCCCGCCCCCGCCGGGCGGCGCCCCGCCGCCGCCCCCCGGCGGCGCCGCGGGCAAGAAGCCCGACGACGTCATCGACGTCGACGGCCAGTAGGCGTCGGGGGCGCGGAAGGTCGAAGGAGAAAAAGCGCACAGGCCCCGAGATCCTGGCGACTCCATTGTGTCGAGCCGGGCGTTTTCGCGTCATTTCGGGCCCCAGGGCCCTCACGGATCGATCCGGCTCGAAAAATGGCGCAGAACGGGTCTATAGGGCTCCAGGCTCGATTTGTCACGGCGTTTTATTTTTTGTTTGACACGTCGGATCTCAGGGGACGTACAGTGGCGGCCCAGGCCAAGAGACATCCTGCGTGCCTCCAGGGTGCCCCGGGTTCCTTGGGTTTCGATGGTTGTGCGATGGGAAGCGTGACGCTCCCACACCCAATGTCGGTGGACGGTCAGGAGGTATCGGGGGCGCCGAAGGTCGAAAGAGAAAAGGCGCATACTCTGTGCCCCTCGATAGTTCTGGGGGTACCTGAAGTCCGGGGAGGGTACCTGTAGTCCGCGGGAGGGGTACCTGTAGTCTGGGGGGGTTATCAGTAGTCCGGGGCTGGGTCCCTGTAGTCCGGGGGGAAAGGTACCTGTCGTCCGGGGGGGGGTACCTGCAGTCTGGGTGTGAACGCGTGTTCACGCGTCAACGCACGCGTGGATGTAGTCCTGTGGGTCGAGGGGGGGGTACCTGTAGTCCCGGGGAGGGGTACCCGTAGTTCGGGGAGAGGGTTACCTGTGTAGTCCGGGGGGTTACCTGTAGTCCAGGGGCCCAGAACTATCGAGGGACACAGTAGACGTACAGTGGAGGCCCATGCCAAGAAACACCCTGCTTGCCTCCAGTATGCCCTGGGTTCCTTGGGCTCCGAGGGTTCTGCGATGGACCGCGTGACGTTCCCACACCAAAGAGCTGGTGGACGTCCTGGAGTCTCAGGGCTGGGTTTCCTGTGGAAGGTTCCTCTTGTGGACTGGCCTCCACTGTAGGCCTGGAGGTCTGTACACCAGTCCGGGGCCCAGGATGGACGCGGCCAGGTCTTTTCTATACTTTCAGCCTCCGCGGGTCCTCGCTGGGCCTCGGGAACGTCAAACTTGTGGAGTCCAAAACCTGGCGTGGCCTCCACTGTACGAACTTTCCCCCGAGGTCCTGGCGTGGCATTTTTTGTGCACCACGGGCGCTCTCGTCCGCCCCACGTCGGGCCCCGGGGCCCTCACAGGTCGATGCGGCTCGGAGGAGGAGGAGGAGGTGGAGGAGGGGGAGGGGGAGGGACGAGGATCCAGTCGGGCCTGTCCCTCTATGCAGGAGGGAAATTCCAAAACAGTGAAAAAAAAAGTCTGGGGACGACTTGTGGACTGTTTCTGAATGTGTTTGGGGTATGTTTTAGGGTATTTTGAGATGTCGTTAAACATCCGCATGTAGGGGGACATGCCCGACCTAAGACGAGGACAACAAGTGGGACGAGGATCGATTTCCCTGAGACCCTTGCGTGGCAATTTTTTTTCGCAGCGGGCGTGTTCGCCCAACTTCGGGCCCTGGGCCCCTCACCGATCGATCGGGCTCTGAAAATGGGGCAGACAGATGGGATCTGGGGCTCCGGTGGTGACTGCGTCCGAAGTTGCAATTTTTGTATAACGTCGGATCCCAGGGCTCGTCGGAGACAGAAAAGGTTTCCATACCGCTACCCATCCCTCGGTTTCTCCCTTTTGGGCCTCGTGGGAGGCCCTCGTCGCCACCGCTGGAATCGCCTCGAAATTCTGGTCAGAACGCACCAGAGGTCTGGGGAGTAGCGGTACCGGTGCCTTTTGGTTTCCCCATGGGGCGTTGCAAAGAGGGCCTCGCCTAGGATGTAAGCAGCTGTCATCTCCTCCGCGGCGGAAGGCGGCGGAAGGTCGGCGGAAGTAAAACGAGGCTGCCTCAGTCGGCGGAAGCTCGTCGAAAGCAAGAGTCGACCTCTCAAGGGATGACAGCATGTTCGGATGCTTGCTTTCTGGAGTCGACCATCTACTTTCGGAGTTTCCGCGCGAATTTCTTGGATCTGCGCCGGGCCCGCCCTGGCGGCGCCGCCCTGGGGCGCGCTCCGCGCGCCGGGGAGGGGGTTCTGCAGATCCTAGAAATCCGCGCTGACCTGCGGCAGCTGATGCCCATGCGCGGGTCTCCTTCCTTCCGAAAGAGGGGCGGACCGTCTCCTGCTCTTCCGGGCCCCAGACAGGCTTGCGTTGCGGCAAAAGCCGCGACCCGAGGTGTCTGCTCGCTCTCGGTCTCCGGGGGGCCCTCGCCAAGCCCTGGGACCGTGAAGAAACGAGTGGGGATGCGATGAAAAACCTGCCCTGGGGAAAAGAATCGGGACTTCTGGGGGCCCCGCATTGAGACAAATCAGAACATCGGGTTTCTCGGGGGGCAGGAGGACGCAGTCAGGCTTGCCTTGTCGCGCGCTCGAACCCCATGTTTGAGGGACCCCCGTGTTTCCTCGGAGCCAGGCCCTGGCATTGGCCCTGGGCCCGGGGGGGGAGGGGCAGACCCCCCGACCTTTCGTGGAAAGGTCACGGCGGCAGGTGTCTGATCGCTTGCGGCCTCTTGGGGGCTGGGCCTCTGGGGCTCCACGCTGCGAGCGAGAATGGCGACGTCGGAGGCCTGGGCTGGGCGTCTTGCCCGATGCACGCCCGGCTTCTCTCTCCCCCGCTCTCGGCCTCTGGGTGGGCGCGTGCTTTCTCTCTCGGCCCAGGGCCCCCGAGAGCGCGGTGTTGGCGAGAGCTGCCCGCCCCGGGGAAGGGGGTGCAGACGTCTGGGTCGTGGCGCCGGGGCTCTGGAGGGGGGGGGCATCAGGAGAGGGGAGGAACGTCGAGAGTTTGGGCCTCTCCTCTCTTGAGCCTCCAGGCTCAGGGGGCCTCTGGGTGCCTCCTGTCCGGAGGCCTCACCTCCAGCGGCTCGAGAAAGTCGAGGCGGCATGTGTGGGTCGCGATCTCGGGCTTGGAAGCCCGCTTCGTGCCCAGTGATTGACAACATAATAATACCTTGACGAAAAGCGGATCCAGGGGAGTGGGGGGGAGTTTTGGGGGAGACCCGCATTGAAAAGTTTCGGCGTCGGAGGCTTGGGAGCGTTTTTGGTGGAAACCTAAGACTCGAGTACGCCGGAACTCGGGTTTGCTGACGCGTTTTGACGAGCGCGTCCTGGATTTTGACGGTCGTCGGAGGTTTGCAGTGGGAGTTCGCATCAATTTTCAGGCTGGGTCTCGAAGTTTTCATGATCGCCCAGTCAGGCCAACCCGAGTCCCCCGAACCCGAGTCTTATGTCTCCGTGAGTTTTGCGTACGTCCGAGGCGGGAATTTATACATGACAACCGCTTGGAGGATCAACTTTCGGGGACCCCTGCAGGCGGTGGATATGGACATATTCGGGCCCCCGGGGGCCAAAATATTTCCATATCCACCGCCCGTTTGGGCCACCAGAACGTCGGTTCACAGGCGGTGGATATGGATAAATCCCCGCCTCGCAGTACGATGCGGCTCGATGCGGTGCCCGATTTTCTCCACGCCGACGCCGCCGACGCATCGCCGACGTCGCCGATGCATCGCCGATGCATCCTCGATGTATCGCCGATGCATCTGCGATGCGGCGCGATCCTCCGACCCCCCATCTGGGAGGCCTCTACCCACGCTGCCCTGGGGAACGCCCCTTTCGCTGTTGTGGGCCTGCCGCCGAGCGATCGGCGCTGTGCCGGTGGTCCCCCCTGAACCCGTTTCTCCCCTCTTCGGGTAGGGGGTCGGCTACATCACTGATCTACGCCGACACTCATCGTCGAATCCCGCAGGCCTGGAGGTTGACACCAACACCAATATCGGCGGTGTGCCTCCACCGAGGGAAGAAGATCCCGATCTCGGTGATGGTGGTAATATTCTGGCTTACAAGGTGACCGAAATATTAGCACCAACCCCGAAATCTAGCATCATTTTCCCCCTGTGGAGGCAACCCCCTGTGTTGGTGTTAGTGTCCATCTCCAGGCCTCCAAGAATCTACGACACATGCATAGAATGGTTGTCGATTCTTCGAAAATGCTACGTCTCCCCTCTTCGCGTAGGGGATCGATTATACAGTTCATGTACGCCAGAACTGACTTTTTCATCGGCGAATCTACGAAACACGCAGCGAATGGTTGTTGAATCTCCGCCAATGCTAGGTCTCCCCTCTTCGAGTAGGTCATCGACTACAATGTTGATTCACCTCCACATTTGTTTTTGTTCGCCGAATGGTTGTCAAATCTCCGAAAATGCTGCGTGCTTTGCGTAGGTTCGGCGAAGCATAATTCTTGGGCGAATCGATTCTGTAGTCAATCCCCTCCTCGACCTCTATCGGATCCCCTCAGGCCGGCTGCCGCGCAGTTTTGAGCCGCAGTCTGCGGGTACAGGCAGGGCGGCCCCAGTCGCCCGACGGATGTGTCACGATTTTTGTCGCAGGTGGTTTGAAAAGGCAAGGCAGGTAGTTTTGAAAGGCCACGCCAGGTTTGGTTCGTCAGTTGGACGTTCCCCTCCCCTCGCCGTTCGAGTTCGCGGTAGTTTTGATCCCTCTGCGCCCAGCGTCAGTTTCACTCGTCCCTCCTTCGGGCCATGACGCGCGATCCTGAAGCTCGGTAGCAAATCATGGGAGCCTAGTATACCCTCTCAATTCTGTCTTTAGCGTTGATCAGCGTTGGCTAGCGTCTGGGAGTTGATGAGATAGCGCCGATGTAGCTTCGAATAGCGTCGACTTAGCATCGATTATGTAGCGTCGACTAGTGTCGATTCGCAAGAGCCGATCAGATGGTATGGGAGGCTCCCATGAGTTGCCACCGAACTGGAGGCGGCAACTATTTTTCCACGTGCCTGGCACAGCCGTTTCAGCAATACGGCTTCGCAATAGCGTGTGGGGTAGTGCTGCTGACCAGTGATAGTCGGTGTAGGATGGGAAGGACGTGCATCAGGCTCAGATGACTGTGCAGAGTGCTTCACTCTGGACGGTGATTTTCAACAGGGTGTCGCCATTGTGTCAGGCGCGTCGCAGTACCATTGCGTCCCTGGCGATGCCGCACGGAAAAGAAGGACACCCATGGTCGCATCTCTGAGAGGCGGGGAAGAGATGGCAGGGAAGAGGAGAGGGGAGGAGAGCAGCATCAAATGATAGGAGAGTGCCGTTCGTTTGTGTTGTGTTCAGGTTGCATTGTTTTTCTTGATTCGTTTCCCAAAAGCGAAGCTTCGAAGACTGCAACACTGATAGGGGGACACTGCGAAATGGCAAGGCCGTTCCGAGAGATAATTTTGCTTGGTGGCCATCTTGGAGGGCAGTCGTAAACAAGGTGGGCCCCTATTAGCCTTGTCCCTTCGGAGAGTAAATTATCGCCATTTCGCCGGCTGTAGTGGCAGTCTTGGGCCTGTTCTCGGTTCCTAGGTAATGTGGCTCTGTCTCTGCCGTCGCCCGCCGCCGCCGCCCTTGTCGCACGCTGCCGCTGGTCATTGCTGTGTTGACCGCAGCGGTTTGAGCTGCAAGGTGCGAAAAGGAGCGCGCGCCCGACCCTCCTTTCGGGGCGGGCGCAGTCTTGCACATATACACATATCGTAGCTTCCGCTTAACGAGTACCGTGTTTGTGCCTTGTCGTCCATAAGTTTCGAAGCCATTGAGATAGTAGAGCAAGAGCAATCGTATTACAAAACCATAATTAAAGCAATCATTATGTCAGAGTCTTCTGATCCTGTGGCAAGTACTTGGCTATGAGCTCCAAGTTCTGAATCTGTTCATTTTGACGACTTGGCATATCAGCCGCGATAAACAACCCATGGTGCCGATCAAAGCGCTTTTGATTCACATGACCAATCGAGACCCCCATTTTTCAAGAGGGACTGCCAACGTGAGAAAGATGATTGTTGATCGCGAGTTATTTGCGCTTATCGATTCAGGGATTAGCTCGTTGAATTCATCGTTGAAAGCAGAGTCGCGCCACGTTGCGAGCGAAGCAGCCGATTTAAACGGCGGTTTACCTGAAGACCGTGGTATGATGTCAGACGAACGTGCCGGTACACCAGGGGTTGGTTCAACCATTTTTCAGGCATCCCGTCGGCATTTTTCTGGAAGAGCAGAGTACGCAATAATGTTCCATTAACCAAGTGACGCAATTGAGTCCACGGGAGCCACATATGGTAGATAACCCTTGGAACCCCACTGGGGAAACGCCGCTCCCGAAAAGGCCAGAAGGGCGATCCAGAAGGCATGCAGCGGTGTCTCACTATCCCATCACTCGCAAAGTGGAAGGTGTAAGGAGTGATGAAGTTTTTGGCTTTGCTGTGGTCCAAGTCCAAGTGCGGAATTTGGAAAATAGAAGCTAATCTTCTGCCTCTTCCGAGATCTGCGATCCCCGTAAAACATGCGAAGCACGGATCGCTTATGATAGGCCGCGCTAGATCAAGAAGCAGTCGTGGTTCGAATAGCTCTTCTGGACAGTCCTCTTCTGATGCGCTTTTTATTCGAATATCTTGCTTGGCCCAGGGACCGGGTTGCCCGACGATGCCGGAGAATCGGTGCCCGGGAGATGAGAGCACGGTCCGCGTAGTAGGCAATCGTGTGGAGCGTGCTCCCTCACATGCAAGCCAAGCATTGTAATGTTAACTGGTGTTGTAAGGATTGTGTTGGTTTGCGAGATTAAAAGTGTCAATCGATTAAGGTGTTGGCATGGCGGCAACTGCGATCCAGCAGGTATTTTTTAGGGAGCAAGCTGCCGTTGATGAAGCAAGGACACTCGAGGAGTACATGACCAAATGTCAGCCAACGTGGACCCCAAACAGTAGGTTCTTGCAGTCCACGTGGTGCAATAGATGTGGCGCGATACAACCGATGTAATGAAATCTACGCTGTGCAATCTACGTGGTGAAATAAATATACAGGATGCAACCTATTTCATGCAATAGTCGCGTGTTTGCGATGCAGTTTTTGCAATGCAATGTTTGCAGTGCAAAGTATGTGGTGCAACCTATGTAATGCAGTTCGCGCGGTGCACCATATGTGGTGCAACGCGTGCGATGCAAACTATGCGGTGCAATGCATGCGATGCGGAGACGGCGACGGGCGGCACGGGCGGCGACGGGCGGGGATGGCGGCGACGGGCGGCGACGGTGACGGGCGGCGACGGGCTGCGACGGGCGGCACGGGCGGCGACGGGCGGCGACGGGCGGCGACGGGCTGCACGGGCGGCGACGGGCGGCGACGGGCGGCGACGGCGACGGGCGGCGACGGGCGGCACGGCGGCGATTTTGCGGGGGGGGGGGGGCCCGAGATGGTTAACGCAAATGAGAACCCCTAAGTGCAAACACCTGTTTGGGGAACAGGAGCGCGCACACAACAATCTTGAACTTCTCCAATCAGAACTCGCTCAGAAACGAAATCAACAGCAGGGGAGACTGGCGCGCCCCAGGTCCAACCGGCGGCGGCGGATAGCATCCTTTGGCCGCCCAGAATTCCTGAACCCCTTGCTGGGCAAACATTAGGGCTGAGCCTTCAGAGTCGCACTAGGAGCGTTCGGCCTCCTTCACCGCAAGACTCTGCCCCTGTCTCGATTCAGTCGGTTGGCAGTCGGGATGGAATGGCTTCGGGTTGTTTCGAGCGCCCGCGGCCGTTGCAAGCATCCGGGGGGAGGAACGGCGTTCCATTGAATACGTGCAATTTATGTGCACTGGCTATGCGGGAAAATTGCGTCCAATCTGGCGCACAATGTTGGAACAACCGCGTGGACGCCGGCACCGAGGGATGTGCGTTTTGCTCTCGGCAAAAAGGCCGATGCCGAAGCTGGGGCTTCAAAGTAATTTAGTTGGGCAGACTAATAACACCCAGCCGCCAGAACTGATTTGTTTAATCGCTGCCCCCGGCAAATTTTCAGTCGTCGCCTGAAAGTTGATTTTCTAGTCGTCCCCCCACCCGTGCGGTTGTCCACCCGCCGCATCCTCGAACAGGAGTAGAAATACGAAAATAGGAATAATAGGAATGAGTGCTGCAGGAATGGGGATCGGGATAGGGATACGGATAGGAATAGGGATAGGGATAGGGATAGGGATAGGGATAGGACGGGGAATAGGAAGGGGAACAGGAATTGCTGTAGGTCCCCGCGGCCTCCCAGGCAGCCCGGGATCGTCCGCCCTCCGTCGGCCAGGTTCCTTCGGTCCTTGCGGCTCGGAATTGTCACCCCCCCCGCCTTTGAATTGTCAGCCCGTGATCCCCCCCCCGCCCGCCAGACAGCCCAGAATTGTCCGCCCTCCGTCGGCCTGCTCCCCCCTCCCCTTGTCGGGGCATCCAGGCCGGCGAAATGATGTCTTAATCGTCTGCCCCAGAATCTGTTTTCATCGCTTGCTCCCACTAGCGCGGCGTCGCCGGGCCGTAGCCGCGACGCGCTGAGCAAGAGTTCCTGACCGCTTACATTAGATGCAACAGAAGCCCCCTCGATCCAAAATACTTCGATCAATCCTCGATTGAGTTTGATGGGCCTGTTTTCCACCACCACCACCAGAAGTTGGAGGGGGAAGGGGTCCTCCTCCTCCTCCTCCTCCTCCTCCTCCTCCTCCTCCTCCTCCTCCACCTCCTTCCCCCCTCCAACTTGTGGTGGTGGTGGTGGTGGTGGTGGTGGAAAACAGGCCCATCAGAGTTGGTGGCGGACGAGGAGGAGGCCGAGATGGAGCGTCCCCGGGCAGCGTTTCGGTCAGAGGCGGTCCCTCTGCTGCAGGGGCACTCTTCGGCGCGGGGTCTCACGCCGGCGGCCAAGCCCGGGGCATGTTGCGGCATGTTGCGTCTTCCGTCGAGGCGAGGCACAGTGGACACATACGATAAGGCATCCTGCTACAATAATTCTAGGGAAACACAGTTGACGCCGACATATTCACCTGCTGATAAGAGTCCCACATCTTCTGTGAGACCCCAGGGCCATTGGGGGATAAGAAGTTGTCCCAGGCAGGTTAGTTCCTTATTCGACGTGCCTATTGTACATCGTCGTCGTCCTTGACCTCGGCGTCGTCGGCGTCGTGGGCAAGGGGATCGCTGGGCGACGTACTGTCGTCTCACGTGGGAGGATCGGGTACCAGGCGAGAACGAGCACGAGGAGAACGACGACGACCACGACGACGAAGACGACAACGATCTTCACGTTCGTGGCTGCGGCCGTGCGTTCCTTCCACGTCCTTCCCCCCCGTTCCGTTTCCCCTCTCCTCCGCCGCCGGCAGTTGGCCAGGACCCTGAGTCTTGGTTATTTTGCTTCCTGGGGCCAAGGTTGCCTGGACAGCAAGTTCCCGCCGTGCCAGGTTAGAGCGATGGGGGAGATACATGTGTTTCCACCTTCGTGGCACCTCAGCCCCGGGCTCCCCTCTCCTCCGATGTTGCAACTTTTTCGTGACGTCAGGCCCCAGGGATCTAGACCACTTCCCCAGGGCCAGCTTCTCATCCTGGGTCTTTTATCGAGCTGGAAAACGACATCCGGAGACCGGAAACGACGACAAACCAGCCGTCACAATTTTGTTGCAACGCCCATCTGAGGCTCCGCCGTCGCATCCTGGGACCCAACAGTGTTTGGCCGTGTTGCTCCTGGGACTCTTCGGGCATGGGTGGCGCGGGCTCACGCCGTCGCCCTGCATGCCATTTCAGGCTCCACTGTGCTCACAGAGCTTTGAACGTCTGACTTGCATTATCTCAGCGGAGGAAAAGGAACCCATACGGCTACCCTCTACCAGTCTTCCCGTTTCTGGGCCTCTTGGGAAGCCCTCGTCGCCACCGCTGGATTCGCCTCGAAATGCTGGTCAGAACGCGAGGCCCGGGGAGTAGCGGTATCGGTACTCCAGATCTCGTAATAAAAGGGAGGGGGTCTGGACCCTCCAAGACACGCCATTTCAGACCCCCCCCCCGTGGGAGAACCCTCCAAAGCATCGCCCCCAGACCCCCCCAGGCCCTCCGAGATGGCCCGGAAGAGACCCCCCCCGAAATGAGACCCCCCTCCCTTTCTTACGAAATCTGGAGTACCTTTTGGTCCCCCCATTTCGGGGGGAGGAGAAGCGATACCAACACCACCAGGGGGCCCACCGCCAGCGAGGAGGTCCACGATGCCTCTCCGAGCTGGAGGCTGGGGATGTCTCGAGCGAGAGAGGGGGACCACACCACCAGGGAGTCCCCCTTGCCCCCTCTCATCTCCTCGCCCTGTTGGTGTTGGTGTCGCCTTTCCTTGTTCCTACCATTGTCCACATTATCTTGCCCCGATTCCCGAGTCCAGGTCGGGGGAGGCGGGGGGGGGGCGGCGATGGCGGGGCTGCACCAGGCGCTGCTGCCGCCGCCCGCGGAC